CGCCTTTATTGATAGCTTTATCGATCCTGTCCAATGACTAACAAATAGATTGATGCTCTTTTCATTCTAAACTTATGACATATTTGCTTAAAAAGTATTACCTCGTGATTTTTGTCATTCAGTTTTCTCCACAAAAATAAATTTTCAGCTAAATCAAGATTAGATCAGTTGATCGATCAATTATTGATACATTTCGTGGAGACAAAAACACAAATTCAAGTCGCAGATGATATTGACTGGAGTAGATTAGCTGGAATATTTTTAAGGCTACCGTGAGTAAAACGCGGCCGATAAGATTAAAAGGTGATTTGAAAGAATACTCTTCATTTTCTTTAAATGAAATTAATTCTTGTTCTTCTATATGCAGTAACACCTTATAGGTCTACACAAACAAATGCACTTGAATATACCTACACAAACATATTGTGATAAGTACCAATCACTTTTAGACTAACCAGAAATCATTTGATTTGTTTAAAATCTCACCCAAGCTCGCCAATTCTAATCCCTAGAGTTGAATGATTATCTATTTTCTTCCTGTGTGCACTAACAAATGCACTTGCACATGCCTTGTATCCCTCTCTTACTCTTTGTTCCATCTTTCGTCCTGTGTAAGTAATGATTTTTGTTCATTTTATGCCTTACAAAAATTATTTATTTCACCTACCTTCGTAGTTCTTTTCTCTTCTAAATAAGCAAACGATCGATCTATGTAGAACCATATTTTTTTAATACAGAGTAATCACATAAAGCTGACATGAAAGTTTCTGTACCGGATAACATTTGTAAAATACGAGAAAAAAATCTGAATACATATTTTTTGGAAATGTTTTTTCCTCTATCCACACAAGACTTTCTTTCTGCAATATCAAATATTCTAGATAAATGTTTCTACTTCTTACAAAGATTATTATCCATAAATTACGTGAATCTGATCGATTCTTTTGAATAAGGCAATTGCTAATTCAGTTTCACGTTATACTTGCACATAAACGTTAATCAATAGAATACTTTAGTTTTTTCCCATCGAATAAGTATGGGATGTACTGGAGAGTTAGTCGCTTAAATATGGATGTAACTCACTTACCAATTAAATGTCATGGGCTCAAAATACTGAGGGATCAACAATATGCTCGACATTGCAGGTAGCCTTGCTGACAATTTGCAACTATCACAAAACGTAGGTCCGGAGTTTCCTGTGAACTACCACCTAACATCAAGTAGATGTTTATGCACTCAACATTGAGCCATATTGTATGAAGGCTTGCGATACTGCTATCCGGCTACTCAAACTGAATTAGGTAGACCAGAATTCTTACAGGAAAGCTAATTTATGAAACCTGATTTGTTCAACCACTAAGCGACTTTTTCAAAGACTCAACTGCTGAGGTTAGATAATATTAACAAAGCTACACTAAATTAATTAAAAAATCCGTCTAACTCACCTAAAATCTAAATAAAAATTACAATACCCCTGAGCTTTATATTATTTGTGGTAGTAACTCATTTCGTTGCCTTCAAATGAACAAGGTCAATTACGGTAAGGAAAACATTCAATGCATCTTATTTAAGAAATAGTATCACCCGAACTAGTTTGTTTCCAGTAAAATCTGGTTAGTCGGGACAATATTAAGTGATAGCTATAGATATGAGTGATATTTTGGACAAAAATTAAATTTGTTTGTTTTGTGTGAAGTCTATCAATTAGGCAACCCATGATCTAAAATTCCACCCAAATAACTGATTTTTCCGTTAGGATCACCTTTGCAGATCACACAAGTATCATACGTGGAACCACGGTAAAATGCTATACCATTTAGGGCCGATTTTACACGATTTACGCATAACTATGGACATATCCGACCAGAATCGCATCGATCTTTTCTGGAGCATAATTAGATGATATTTTATATTCAAAACTTGTCCAGGATAACCATCCCGGACATACTTTTAGCAGTGTCTATTATCAGTCATTAAACAATAAATTAGCATACCCACTAGACATTACAAACTATAATTATTCGGATTATACCGTATTATTTTCAACATTAGACATAGTATGAAGGAATTTGAAAAATCTTTGGTGGTAAACTAATTATAAACTTTAGCCTGAGACTCAGGTTTGTCACAGAACAACCCAAAAGATCGAATCCTTTACTATATCAGCAAACATCTACCAAATCAACTAAGGATAAACTCTATTTAGAAGAGTGGAGATACACTGTAGAAATGAAGATATCTGGCAATTTTTTCCGGAAGAACGGATATACGCGCAACTTTATCAAAGAACTAAGTGTGGAAGACAGCGAACGGATGATCCTAACACATTAAAGACAGCGAATACAACCAGATTAAAAAGACGTCATTCACAACTCAGCTAAATCAAAACTTTGAAAATCATTACATCAGCCAGAGCGACCGCTCTATTGATAGTTCTCTAAATAAACACTCATTGGTTATCAAACACTATGATATGTCTTCACTTACATCAACACATGTAGGCAACTTTAAGGCTCTACTAGGAGGAACTTGAAATATTGGACAAAAGCAAAACACGAGTTTCTAGGGCCTTGATACTAAATTAGAAAAGTCACAAACAACTATAAGATCAAGGGCGGACAATCAGCGTAAATGTGCAGACGTTGGGACGTATCGGCAACAATCAGTCAACTCTAAGGTCTACGTGACAAGATGCTAGTCACTCAGAAAATTCCTTACAGCTCACTTTTAACTGAGGTTTGTAATGACTTTGTTTTGGATGACAATGAAAGCGTCGCGACTTAAACGCCCAAAACAAAGAGCACAATTTCAGGAAAATTATTCTCTTCAACTACAAATCTCGGCCAACTTACCATCAGTAATCGATTGAATACCCTCTGTCAATCATTTTATTTGCTATTACGTGTAAAACCCTATCAGAATAACGTGTAGAATGTGAATGTTTCTTAATTATTTCCTCAGGATTCAACAAAATGCAACTCGTAGGCAATTAAATATAAGTTCAATCAACACCCAAACGACTTCCCCAGCAAAGCGTGTCCAAAAAGATTTCGGTTCTACCTAGCAATCTGAATGAAAATATCGATTGTCTTCTGTATATCTACTTTGCTATTATGATAATATGCATGGTGACTGACATGATATAAAAAGCGTTCGCCATTAACAGTGTCGACTTGGTGGGGCAGTTTTTTACTGTTAAGTAATCCATAATGTTAGGAAAATGGAATTGCTGATTATTATTGTAACATATACATTATTTCACCTCAAAATGACGAAAAATCACTGCTTATTTTTTGAAGCTTGGTGTATTTAATGTACAAAAATAATGACAATAGCATATAATAACACTACTTTGCTAGAAACATGTATACAAAATAAATGCAACTGCTTATTTACAAAAATACGTTATTTTCTTCCAACCAGATATGGTGAAAAAATGAAATATAGAGTAGAACATCACTTCAAACGATTTTTTAAGTAAAATAAAATTTGATTAGCTGCCTCTCGACATGTCCCGCTTATCCAAGCGATCTTTATCACCAATGGTCCATGTTCCTCTTCAGCAAAAATCACATCGTCATCATCACTAGCGTCTATATCACTTTTAACTTTCATAATTGTCTGACCACATTCAATGCTATCATTATGCATTACTTCGTCACTGTTGTTGATTGCATGTGGAAATAAAGATGATTTTGCATGTACGTCTTTAATAAATGAATCTGTGTTTAAATACTCAACAAATACATTGGCTTGAATCACATGTGAGCAAGTGTCGATAGCAGCAGATGGTGATTCATTATTTGAACACGTATTAATTTTGTTAACTGAAGCATTCTCACATTCATCTCCATCAAGCCAAGCGTCTTCACCTTCTTCACAGATTTCATCATGAAGTGTTGCTCGCGTTCGTTTTGGTGGATTTACCAATTCCACCACAGAACTATTCAGTTTTGTCTCTGCTGTTGCTTGTGTGATTGATTCCGATGAATTATTCACTTCATCTGGGTTACTATCATGTACACGCTTTGAAGGATTTTTAAAACTGACCGTATTTGTGTTAAAACCGCATTCCATGGGATCTTTTTCATTGGATACAGAATCATTATTAGTTGGATTTCCATTGTTTATCGTATCCGATTGTTGAGACATTAGAAGACGTTGAACTTCTCGTCGTTTACGCCTAGTATGGGTCCACGTATTTACTGTTGCTGTAATATTTAAATGCAGACCACCTAGTTCAGCACGATTTTTTTGATCTAATACTTTCATCTAAAAAGCCAAAGAAAAATAAGATAATAAAGGGATTTATAAATAGTTCATCACGGTGAACGATTGTCAGTGTTTAATAACCAATGCGCTGAAATAATATAGAAGAGTAATTAAGAGACACCATACGTTAATTGTGTTGATCAACACTAAAAAGTATGAAAGTTTCAGGTAATCTCTTACAAACGCCTAACAGCACTACAGCACGTTGTGACACTAAGCTCAATAAACACATACGATGTCTGGGATGATAGAATTTGATTAGAACTAGACACCACAGAAGAATGATGACCATTGGGATAACTGAGTCAGTTATAATGTAATCCGATTCAAACCGGAAGTTCAATCAACTACTGTGTACCTGGCTTTTGGATATCTAATGACCATTAGTGACGAACACACCAGTCAAACGCAGCATAGGACTTGGTACTCACATACATCGGTTCGAGTTTCTACAACCCATTAGCAAAGCAAGTTAAAATTTTCGGGGCGAATCCCAAAATAATAGAGGTAGTAGCAACATCAGTGGTAATAGAGCATTGAAGATACGATTCGAGAAAACATAGATTGATGAAATAAAAAAATTATGAGGAATTCAAAAGATTAGAAGAATGGATACACCTGCACCTTTACAAACGATTTTGAGCCATGTCATTCAAAGTCTCTAGCCAGTGGCTTATTTATTTATTTGAACACATAAATATTGGTACAAGAGAGCGCCAATATATATGCGCCACACAAAACAATGGGAATTCGAAGAGAAGTAGAAAGAGAAAAAAAAACTAAGGAACGCAAAAGAAAAAGAGAGTGATGACGAAGAGGTACAATCAGAAGAAATCTTTCAGGTAAAGCAGACACAACCACTTTTTATGAAGAAAGTAAAAGAAGGTTACAGCAGGATCGCCACTGGCTTCTATTCTGAGCCATATCTGATAACGTCTCTAGCCACTGTGTAGCACCATCTCTCGGACCCCAGCCAGGGAGTCGTGAAGGACCAACACAAGCCAGTCCTTTGCAGCTTTCTTTCATGCCACGACACCATGTCATGCACTGACCACCTCTCCGCTTCTTCCAACCAGTCCCAGAGTCGGCAAATAATGCACGACGTGGAATTCTCTGGGACGACATTCGGAGAACATGTCCAAGCCACCGAAGTCGGTGTTTCAAGATGGTAACACCAATTGAGTTATCATCTCTGTGCCCGAACACACGATGCCGAACCTCTGCATTACTGACATGGTGTTGCCACTGAATGTCAGCAATCCTTCGGAGACAACGATGATCGAACACAGAGAGTCGTCTAACGTCCTCAACTCGCAGAGGCCAGGTTTCACAAGCATAGAGCAAGACTGCTCTCACCGTCGCGTTGTAGATCCGACCTTTTACAGCCAGACTAACATCACGAAGGCGCCAAAGATGACCCAGATTGGCATAAGCCGCTCTGGCTTTCACTATACGTGCATTGATCTCATCACTCACACCCCCACCAGCACTTATGCAGCTACCCAGATACACGAACTTCTCGACTACGTCTATCTGCTCACCGTCCAGGGTGAGTACAGGATTAGAATCCTGCCAGTCTTGTAGAAGTACTTTGCACTTCGAAGGTGCAAAGCACATACCATACCTACGGACACTGATTGCCAACTGATTAAGTGCGGATTGCATGCCTTGGGCATTATCGCACAGTAAGACAATATCGTCCGCATACTCAAGGTCGAGAAGTCTTTCTCCAGGCAACAGATCCACACCACCATTACTTACATTCATCAGAGCTGTTTCCAGAATGTCATCGATGGCAAAGTTGAAGAGGAATGGTGAGATTGGGCAACCCTGCCTAACCCCACTGCTCGAATGGAACAATGGAGAGAGGTGGTTGTATGCCCTCACTCTGCCTGAGGTGTTTTTATACAGGGCTTTTAGGATGTTAATAAACTTCTCAGGCACACCCTTCTTCAATAGACAATCCCAGAGAACAGTCCTATCCAACGAATCGAAGGCAGCCCTGATGTCAAGAAACACTACGATTGTTGGCCTTTGAAAAGTATGGCGGTGTTCTAACATTTGGCGGAGGGTGAAGATATGATCAATACATCCTCGACCAGAACGAAACCCGGCCTGCTCCTCGCGAGTCAATCATTCTCGGGTTTTGAACAACCTACGAAGAATGACGGAAGCCAATAGCTTGGACGCAATCGGAAGTAAACTTATCCCCCGATAGTTGTTACAAGAACGACGTGAACCCTTTTTAAAGATAGGGACAACTATCGACTCATTCCATAACGTTGGTACACTCTCTAGTTCCCAAACCTTTGTAAACAACGTCGTCAATTCCTTAGTCAAAAAGTCACCACCATCTTTAAAAAGAGCCGGATGTAAGTCATCTGGGTCAGGTGATTTGTAAAGCTTCAAGAGTTGGAGTTCCTTGCGGACTTCCTCCTCATTTGGTGGATCAGTCGTCACCGGCCATGGAGGGCAGGACAGTCTGACCGATGTTGCCGGAGCACCAGGCCAGTTGAACTGCCCTTCGACAAATTCTGGCCATCGTCCAAGACGTCGATGGATGTTAGTGATTGGCATCCCATCATCCTCGCAGATTGTTTCACTCACACCAGACTTCTTGCTGCCAGTGGCTCGGATGAGCTGGAAGAGCTTCCGGTAGTTACCAGATGCAGCTGCTGCTTCCAGCTCATTAGCACGCATCGACCACCAGGCTTCTCGGTCCTTACGCAAGCTTTGCCCAATTTCACTACGTAACATCCTTCGTTTATGGTCAAACTCACGGTCACCCGGAGTAGACCGACGGGCTTCAATGAGTTGTAAGGAACCAGAAGAAGCCCAGTGCTTAAAAGCGGGACGTTTCGCAAACCCACAACTGACTGTTCCCGCCATTTTCATGGCGTCATGCAATTGCAACCAATGCTCATCTATACTTTTCGGTGGAGTGGTAGCTAGCCTAGAGGCTAGCTCGGTTCGATACTTACTTGCAACAGAAGTTGCAACCAGCTTGCTAACATCAATCCGTTGATGGCGTTCACTTCGTTGTCCACTGAAAAGTAAGGCAAGATTGGCGCAGACCAAGGCATGGTCAGAGTCCAGATAGGTACTCCAAAAGGAGCGGCAGTCTTGTACACAATCACGCCAGCGGTAGCTGATCGCGATGTGATCAATCTGAGTCCAGGCTTGAGATGCAGAGGGAGGACGCCAGGTGGCACATCGGCGATGACTGTGCCGAAAGTTAGTGCTAGCCAGAAACAGGTTGTGGCCTGTGCATAGTTGCAGTAGACGGTCCCCGTTATCTGTCCTGCGACCAACAAGTCCCCATCAGCCACTTGAACGACTCTCTTCTGTGCCTAGACGCCCGACCTGAGCATTTAAGTCTCCGGCTAGTACTACAATATCTCTCGAACGCACTTTCTGGAGAAGAATAGATAATTGGTGGTAGAATTCATCTTTGATTGCATCCGGGCTGCAATCTGTCGGGGCATAGGCAGAGATGACGAAAAGACATCGTTTCTCACGCCGATTTCTTCTCACTTTGATGGAACTTTCTAATCTAACAGCACATAACCGACTGTTAATGGGGATCCAATCGACTAGTGCTGCCTCAGCTCTAGCGCTTAGTGCGACACCAACGCCAGCAAGACCAGACGAAGATGCCACAGGGTCCCCGGATAAGCGCACGTAAAACAAGCTTTTTGAAGCGACAGATGGAGAGCGGATTTGTAGTACTTCACCAGTCTCGGATAGACAGCAAACATCAATATTAAGACTTTCCAAAGACATAGCCAGCCCTATCTGTTGTCCGACCTGCATAAGTGTGCGAACGTTGAAGGCAGCCAGTGTGAACGGTGCACGTGGTTTCAGAAAAACTGCTTCAGTACTCATATTCGGTGGTAGCATACAATTTTCAACCGGACAGTGACTCGAGAACGTTTAGATACAGTCGAATTTCCACCAAAGACGAGCTGCTGTATAAGTCGAAAAATAAGTATAGACAGAGTTGGAATAAAAGAGGGTGAATAATGTCGTAGTAAATAATAATAATAATAATAATAATAATAATAATAATAATAATAATAATAATAATAGTAATGATAATAATTTGAATCATTTGATTGCTATTCGAAGCGAGAAAAGTAGTTTCCATTGATATAGAGAGTTCATCATTTGCGTGTGGGCTGCGATACTGCCCGGGTGCCCAGATCGAAGCAGGTGAATTTCTTAGGGGGCCACACCCCGAGCCCTTGACCTAAAAGTCTTACCCACAGGTCAGTGGAGCATCGTAAGGAGATGCAGTCACATGGTAGCCGGTGACCGAAAATTGGTTCATATGCCACTTGTTCCCGCAGGATACTGGAGCCTATGTGCACCATTGGTTTGGGATCTGGTTACAGCGCTGGACATTCGCTTTTCGTCCTCTCATTTTCGTTAACAACACCCCAGCCACGAGAAGGCAGTGAGTAGGATTTCCCTGGCAGAGGCTGTATACGCGTGGCCGTGTGACAGTACTTCGAGAGGGAGGGCGGACCCACTCCACTCTCGGCCATACCAGGGCATTTGGGGGCCATAATCTTCAATACAAACATAAAGACAGTTCTACTGTATGGAACTGAAAATAGAACTACTACAACCATAAAAAAGTACAAGTATTTATAAACACATGTCTACGTAAGATACTGAATGTCAGTTGGTCGGATACTATCAACAACAGCCTACTGAGAGAGAACAAACCAGCTGCCAGCTGAAGAGGAAATTAGGAAAAGACGTTGGAGGTGGACAGGATATACCGAGATCAGAGTTGGATGGAGAATCCTGGTGGGTAACTTATGCTTTTTCAAGAGGAGTAATAGAAGTAATCATATCAAATTACTAAATAATTTCTTGAAACTTACACCTAATTGTTTAAATTCATATCTCAACCAGTCCAAAAGAGCATCAACTGTATTTTCAGTAAGACAAGATACTGAATCCGGAAGTTGCAGTGTTAATGGAGGACGTTCTAATTTACGAAGTCGACGGAAATCAGATTCCTTAAAGCAAAATTATAAAAATGTTTTTTTAAGTCTAAATATATTACTATGATTTTGAAAGTTCTAACTGTCTAACAATCAGAATTTATCTTCGATAAAAATGGCAACCAATTAATTCTTATTGAGGAAAGCAATGTGATAGTGGTTATTGTACAAAGATCAAAGTGAATAAACTTCAACACAAGAAGTATGGGTTTATTAGAGTGGTATTAACGTGGTTGAATCACGAGAAACATTAATTGGAGGTTAAAATTAACATACAGTAGAACATTGCCCGAAGTGTTACTAGGTTCTTCATGTACAATGTGTTCAATGACATGACAGAATAGCATTCACAAATAATCTCCAATTGTGTACGTCAGCTTTCATACACGTGCAAAATCATGTTCATCAGAAAGACAACGTGAGCATCTCTATAACTTACCGCGTATTGTACAAAGAAGTTACATTTCAGAGGTCCCAATAGTATCTTTAGTCTGACCGTACGTAACACAAGGCCGCATCCCAAAAAGTCAATAAACAGTATATTTGTACTGCAAAGAGATTCTCACGGATCATACAGACTAGGAGGCTTAAGTCATATATTTGTATTAAACAATAAGTTAACTTTGTTGATAACAGAAGTGAAGAGAGTCAATGACTTCATTCAACCCTCTCTGAATATGATCACTATTCAGTAAGTTTACTACAAACAACTTTAATCTCATGTTCCTGTAATTTTTGTTATACACCATAATAAGAGTATCACCAGTATTTCAGGACTATTCACTCAAATGTAAACTCCTTTGAAATTTTTTTTATCTTAACCTGCATTACAACCAAATGTTTCTTAATACTGGTTTAAGTTTAGGATTAACTGGGCTTACCTGATAATATATATGGCTGAGAGAAATACAACAAAGCAATTAATGGACTGATTTTTTTAAAAACATGGTGTTTAATTTGTTTAAATTGATTAAAATTACCAATAGAATGAAGTGTCTTATTCAAGTATCCATTTAAATGAAATCAGTCTAGTTTGCAACAGTTGGTTTTGCTTCAACTATATATGCCAGTAGTAGGTTTTGTAATCAAAAAACATTCATTTGTGTCGAAATCGCCCAGTGAATATTGTTTAGTTTGAGTATAAAGAGTTAGATAATGGGTGATTTATTTATTTGTTTTTATCTAAACATAAACATTGGTACAAGGAGGCACCAAATATATATGCGCCACATAAGTCATTCGATTTGTGTGAGAGCTGGGATACTACCCGGGTGCCCAGACAGAAACACGTGGTTTCCTTAGAGAGCCACACCCGGAGCCTTCGATCTAAGAGTCTAATTCACAAGGCAGTGGAGCATCGTAAGGAGATGCAGTCACATGGTAGCCGGTGACTAACAATTGATTCATACGCCATTTGTTCCTTCAGGATTCTGAAGCCCATGTGCACCATTGGTTTGGAATCAGGGTCTTCCAACTCCCCTAGGTGGACCCTCCGTGTCCACCAAGCCGGTTTAAGCACCAGACATTCGCTTTTCGTCCTCTCAATTCCGTAAAAAAGCACCCCCGCCATGAGAAGGCAGTGGGTAGGACTTCCTTGGCAGTGGTTGTATGCATGTGGTCATATGAGAGCATTTCGTGAGGTAGAGCTGACTCTCCCCACTCTCGGCCGTACCAGGGCACGTAAGGGCAAAAGTCAAGCTAAACCTATTCAACCAAATGTTAATTACATTAGGTCGGAATGTAAACAACCTAATTATAATAAGAATACAAACACATTATCGAAGTATGATTGAATGAACAGTTTAACAAATAGTCTAACTCATCTAATAGCTATTTCTTAAAAGGGAAATTATTTATCTAAAGCAACAAGGCGAGATAATTATCAGTTTACAAAAAAAGAAATGAAGACTTACAGGAAATTGAAAATTAGGAAGAAATGTCCACGCAACACCCCATCGCATTATACGACCTTGGCACATTTCATATACAGATATTTGAGTTATCTTAAATTTGTGTAATATTCGACGAACTGAAGAAACACTTGATTTTTTACCCAACATAACAGTGAACACACTATAATTCAAATGAACAACGAATATAATTAAAAATTTAGAGCAGAAATCTATGAGCGAAAGAAAATTTTCTTTTCGACAAAGTCATTTACTTAAGCTATATATATATATATATATATATATATATATATATATATATATAGCTTAAGTAAATGTTTTCGCCGAAAAGAGAATTTTCGCTGAATCCAATATTTCTCTAGTTCGGTAAATAATTAGATTCCTTAAAAACAGCATGACACTTCCTTTCGCAAAACATAATGTAATACAACTCAGCGATGTAGTGCAGATATCTGAATACAGACTG